TATATATATATATATATATATATATAGTTTTTTTGTTGTAAGTATTTTAGTTTTGTTTTTTTGCACTGCTTGATTTTTATTTGCAGCTCTTGTTTTGTTCTTGTTTTGTTTCTCAAAACTTAATTTTTCCTTTGTAGTTATTTATTTTTTTAGCAAAAATTAATTTTTATTTCTCAAAACATAATTTTCGCATTGCGATTTCTGGAGATTTGCATTTATTTATCTTTTATTTTTTTGCTCAATACTTTATTTTTTGTTTGCAAAAGTTTCTTTTATTTTGCAAGTATATAAGGCACTAGATTGACTCTATCCATAAGCCCTTACCCATCAGGGTCTCCCAATCATCTCCTTCCACCGAACTGGCTCTATCCCCTATAGCTGGTGTGTGGTGAGCGCACTGGCGCTGTTGTCCTGTAGCATCCAAGTGGATGCTGCACACTAGTGAGAGACCTCTCATGATTGTGAAGCACTATGGGTGTATGGCCATATACAAGTACACATTACATCACGTTACAATCTAAATTATATATTTTATTAATTAATCCAATAGATTTGCCATAAACTACAATTAAAAATAAATGTCATCAATAAATATCTCTCGTTTTATTTTTTATCTATTTTATTCATTCGTTTTCTTTTTGAATTAGTCCATTTATTAATCAGGGGGTCGCCACAGCGAACAATAAACAACCAACAGCTAATGTTTTACATAGCGAATGCCCTTCCAGCTGCAACCCATCACTGGGAAACATCCATACACATTTATACACTACGGCCAATTCAGTTCAACCAGTTCATCTGTACCACATGTATTTGGTCTTGTGGGGGAAACCGGAGCACCCAGAGGAAACCCACGTGAACACTGGGTTTATTATTATTATTATTTTATTTTATTTTTAAAAACTAATGGACTTGCCATAAATACATATTAAACAATAACTATATTTTCATGTATTCATTTATTTTAGTTTAACTGTAATTTTATTTTACTCTTATATTAAACACCTTCTAAATCTATTTAGCTCTCTCTCTCTCTCTCTGGTATTGTTTTATTTAATTTTATTTAATGCTATTTTATACATAAGGGATCTGCCCTAAATATAATAAATCATTTGTAATCTATACATTTAACTTTTTTTGTGTTAGGACACACCAACACGAGGAAAAAACTCCACACAGAAATGCCAACAGACCCAGCCTGGGTTCAAACCAGCAACCTTCTTGCTGTGAGGCAATCGTGCTACCTACTATACAACTGTGATGCCACATTACTGTCATATGAAACATAAATTTAACTTAAAAATACAACTTTTCATCCATTCATCTTACTTACTGTATTCAAATTTACACCTAATAGACTCAATAGATCAAATTATATTCATGTTAAATTGACATTCCTGCAAAAAACTTCAAAATAAAAGACTAAATTTGAATATCAAATTTAATAAATACTTTTATATCATGTTAAAAGTATAATTCAGACAGTTTTTCCCCCCTAGCTTTAATTCTCTTCAATCATCCAGCAAATAATGACCACATTTTGTAGTCTGATGGGTTTAAAATGACAACATTCAGACAGGTTTTCCCAATGGCATGAACTATTCCTTTAAGTCAACAGTATGTTGCTGTGGATATTTGCCGACTGCACTCGTTGTCTGTTGTTTTTACACTGATTTTGAGCTACTGATTTAAAAGAAAGGAAAAAAAAAAGGAGTCAATGGAGTTTGATAGACTTTGATGTTTACGTATGTGATGTTAACTGGATTTTTACAACTAAAAAGGAAAAGGAAAAAAAAATATGCATGAATTTGGAGAAGAGGGGTAGACAAAGGCCTTAATGATGAGGTACTGAGTCGAGCACTGCTGGCTAATGAGTTATTCTCTTGGAAATAAAACGATCGCTCAGTCTCTGGATCCCTCTGACCTGCAGGGAAACCGGGGAAAGTCTTATGATTTAGTTTGAAGAAATATACATATATAAATATATATATATATATAAATATAGACATATATTAACTGTAAAATAAAAAAAATATACAGTCTTAAAGAAACTATGCCAACAAATGCCTTGTACTATATGGCACTGCCGATGTTAGATTATTTTGCAAAACTTTGGTCACTGTAAAATCCTGAATTTCCACAAATGTTTCAAATGTGAATCACAACCTTCGTTCGTGTCCCGCATTATTTATTTTCCGCGTTTTAATGTAATTACGTTCTTTCCCCCGGAGAATCTCCGGTCACTTTTTTGAGTTTTGCTCATCTTTATTTCTATTTATAAATGTGATTTCGATGGGCAGTAAAATCAGAAGTGTCTTAACGTTTTAAATGGAGAAATGTGCTTTAAAAAGTTGCCTAAAAAAGAAAAAGAAAAAGTGCTGTATGTCAAGCAACTCATGCTACGAGCTTCACGATTAATGTTGTATGCAATTTTTACTATCATGCAAATAAGCTTAGGTAAACGACTAACCTATAGACCACTTTAGAGAGAGAGAGAGAAAAAAAAACAAAAAACATATGCAATTTGTGTGAAAATCGATGTTTGCAATGTGTCTTCCTTTTGGTTATCGATCCAATTCAAAGCTATTCCTTGTATAAATATGATGTATAAAAAAGTGGTTCTTTTTTTATGAGTTTATTGCAATGAGAACACCAGTTATTTTGTTACGACTGACTGTTTTATAAGTGTTTCTCCGTTTCTTTATGCAGATGTTCTAACTAGGAGTGGTTGCTGATTGTTAATGACACGATTAAACTGTTTGTATTGTACTACGGTATCTTTTTGCGTTCATGTGCATTAAAGAAATATCCACAGCGCAGGACGAGGCAGTCGAGCGCTCCTTCTGCGAGGAGTAACCTCCTGGGTGGATGAAGTCGTATTAGTGGCGTGTTTAAGGGTAAATAGACGGCAGGTGTTAAGGCCCTGTTAATGAGTTGATCTGCGGGGATTGGAGGTGTAAAGCTGTGAAGGTGCTTTAACTTGGCGATGAACTCCAGGTGAAGCTCGGAGATGCGTATGGAAATCTGCTTCATCCATATGGAGAGAAATCATCAGTGACCTCTGCGAGCATCCAATGCTTTTCCTAATATTGCAAGGCGAAAATTGGCCTTTTCTGACTTCAGGATGAGGGTAAGTTCTCGAAACAGACCTGTTTGGCTTTTATTATGAATAATGCCTTTGTTTTGGCAATCTTTGTATATATATACGTGTGGCAGGGGACGAAGTGTGTATAATACTGTAATATATGAAATACGGGGACATTCACATTTTTGCTAATTGTTTGCTGAACAAAGCACAATTGTTTGTTGTCGAACTGACAGCAGGTTGTTATTATTGCAAGTAGGGGGAAATGAATTGGTAACTTTTACTTTTCTTTCTTTTAAATATGTGAAGTTAAATATTTTAAATGTGTACACTAGCAGGTATTAAATTTCATGACAATGTTAAATAAAATTCCTTATACCACAGAAGCACTTGGTTACGGTGTTGGTTTACAGTGACAAACAATACATTACTTTCTTTTTTAAGAGCTGAACATTTCAATTCATCTTTATTTCAACAGAACTTTTACAGTGTAGATTGTGTCAAAGCAGCTTAACAGAAATTATAGTAAACGGATATTGTGTCAGTCCAGTTTACAGAGTTCAGTTTAGTTCAGTTCAGTGTGGTTTAATATTCACTGCTGAAAGTCCAAACACTGAAGAGCAAATCCATCGATGCGCAGCTCCACAATTCCCAAACCAAACATGCCAGTGGCATTTCCGTTAAGAAATTAATCTATAATCACTTTTTTGGATTATTATTATTATTATTATTATTATTATGTAAGACTTTATTTTGATGGTCTCTATTGCACATTTTTTTTACTAAAAGTTGCATTGGAACTGCATGCTAATTCTCATTTGAGTATTAGTAGACTGTCTGCTTAAAATCTTCTGATACTGCTCCTTCAACAAACATTTAACTGACTTAAAAAAACTTTGCAAGTACATCTCAACTTGCACTAACTATAACCCTAACCCCAACCTAACAGTCTACGTATAATAAAGAGAGAATTAGTTGGCATGTAGATGAAATGTAAGTTAAAATCAACGAAATGCGCTAAAGGGACCAGCAAAATAAAGTGATACCATATTATTATTATTATTATTATCATATTAGAATTTTAAATATCATACTTGATACATAAATATAAGAAACTTAAAATATACTAAAAACACATTTACATATAAATATTACAAATAAACTTAACTAAAAACTATTTAACTAAAAATGTTTTACACTGAAAAATCTTACTGCTTTGCATACGCTCTTTAGATAAATCAAATTAAGTTTGAGTCATCACAACTTGCATTAGTCAAACTGACAAAAAAAAAAAAGTTAAACCTTATATATATTTTTTTTTAAAAGTTTGAAACCTGATTAACTTTTTAAA